GATTCAAGGGCATTGGGATGGTCTGTGGTGCTTGGGGGGAGATTTCAATGTAATTCGATTTACGAATGAATCAAATAACCCCCAATAGGTCATTACAACTAGCATACGGAAATTCAACGATTTTATTAATAACTGCAAGTTAAAGGAATTCCCATTGCTGCAAACTCTCTATACTTGGTCCAACTTTCAGGAGACACCAACCTACTCTAAATTAGATAGGTTCATTTTCAATGAAAGCTGGGAAAATAAGTGGGCGGACTTGATAACAAGGGCTCTACCTAGAGTCGCATCTGACCATTGCCCCATTGGCCTAGGACAAGAGCCTTTTAGGCAAGGACCTCGACCCTTTAGGTTTGAGAACATTTGGTTGACTCATTCGGACTTAGTGAAGAAGGTTGAGGAATGGTGGAGAGAAGACCTAAGGGGGGTGAAGTGGAAAGGGGTAAGATTTCACAAAAAACTAAAAAGATTGAGAGCGCATGTGAAGGATTGGAATAGGGAGCATTTTGGGAGAATAGAAGAAATGAAATCCTCTATGTTGACCCTAATAGAGGAACATAATTCGAATGGCCATAAGCCCTTAGGATAGAGGTTGGCGATGGAATTGGAAAAGAGAGTTAGACGAAGTCATTTTGAGAGAAGAAATTTCTTAGAGGCAGAAGTCTAGTTGTAAGTGGATGAATGAAGGATATGGGAACACTAAAGTTCTTCATGACCTAGTCAATGGAAGGAGAAGGAAAAACCTAGTGTCCAAACTGGAAGTGGATGGAATAGTCTATGATACCCAAGAGAGGATAGCCAATTGTTTTGTTGAMCATTTCAARTCCATTTTGAGGAGACCCCTAAGCCCTAGTGTGGAGTTGGAAGGTGTGACCTCACAGAGTCTTCCAGAAGAGAGTAGAAGCTGGCTGGAAAGGAATTTTGAGGAGGTAGAAATTAGAAAAGCTGTTTTTTCCATGGATAGATCTAAGCACTCGGGCTAGATGGGTTTACAATGGCTTTCTTTCAATATTGTTAGGATGTAGTCAAAGAAGATTTAATGGAGGTCTTCAAGAAATTTGAGAATAATCTAGTGATGAATCGGGGAATTAATGCTACTTTTTAGCCTTAATTCCCAAGAAGAAAGAGGCCAAGCATCCAAAGGACTTTAGACCTATCAGTTTGGTGACTAGTGTTTATAAGATTGTGGCAAAGGTCTTATCTTTGAGGAAAAAAAAGGTGCTTCCTTGTCTTTATTAGCCAAGCGCAAGGATCTTTTGTTCTGGGGAGACCAATTGTACATCAGATTCTAATAGCAAATGAATATGTGGAGGGGATGAGGAGATCGGGGCGTCAAGGTTTTGTTTGTAAACTAGATCTTGAAAAGGTCTATGACTTGGTGGATTGGGGATTCTTATCACTAGTGCTAAGGAAGTGTGAATTTGGGGATAAATGGTGCAAATGGATAAACGGTTGCCTTTCCAATTGCCATTATTCCATCCTAGTCAACAGGGTAGTTACTGATTTTTTTCCCAGCTAGTAGGGGTTTGAGGCAAGGTGATCCCATGTCACATTTCCTTTTCACTTTAGTCATTGATGCTTTTAGTAGACTCCTCTCAGAAGCGGCTAGAGCCGGATCTCTAAGAGGGTGGAGAATAGGTAGAGATAGAGTTTCAGTAACCCATCTCCAATTTGCAGACGACATAATAAACTTTTGTGAAGGTTGTGATTTGATGGAGGTAAGGAATCTAAAGGATTTAATAATTCACTTTGAGAGCCTCAAATTTGAAGGTAAATTTTGAGAAGAGCTGTGTTGTGGGAGTTCATTTGAATATAGAGGAGATGGTGTCTATAGCAGCCTTGTTAGAATGCACTTGCCTCTATCCTATCTAGGACTAACATTAGGTGCAAATCCAAAGGAAAGTAGGTTATGGAACCCGGTGGTGGAAAAATTCGAAAAAAGATTTGCAGCTTGGAAGAGAAACTATATTTCCGTGGGTGGTAGAGTTACTTTGATTGAAGCAACTTTAGCCAACTTGCCTTTATACTTATTGTCAGTCGTTAGAAATCCTGAAAGGGAGGCAGAGGTTGGAAAAACTGATGAGGGACTTCTTATGGGAACTTGGAGAAGAGAAAAAAGATTTTTTGATTAGGTAGGTGGTGGTGAGTCGGAGCAAAAAAGAAGGCGGCCTAGGCTTAGGGAATGTGGTGAGTAAGAATGAGACTCTTTTAGGTAAGTGGCTTTGGAGGTGGCCCCTGGAGAGGGAGAGGTTGTGGCATGAAGTAGTGAAAAGTATCCATGGCTATTTTGAATAAGGTTGGGATGCGGGGGTATCTCGAAGGGCTTTGCTCACAACACCTTGGAAGGCTATCTCTGGCATTCTCCCTAAATTCCTCAGTTTTGTAAGGTACAATGCTTGTTTTGGAAACTCCATTCTTTTCTGAGAAGATACTTGGGTGAGCACTCAACCCTTAAAAGCCTATTATGGTAAGATCAATACTGTGGAAACTTGCAAAAGAAGAAACCTTTTATGTGTCTGTCCTCAAATTGGTGCTTTATGTGTAAAGTGAGGGGTGAGGACTGTAACCATTTGCTGATATCATGCTCCTTTGCTGCCAATATTTGGAATTGGGTTGTTTCCTTATTTGGGTGCAGGTGGAACTTGCCCTCTGAAGTAAAGCTGCTRTTCACTCTGGCTGCTCTTGGGAGATTGACAAAAAGAGGGAAGCTAATGTGGAAATGTATTAGAGCTGCTACCTTGTGGATTTTATGGGAGGAGAGAAATGCTAGAATATTTCAAGAAAAGGAAAGAAGTCTTGCTGAAATCAAGGAATGCATATTGACAAGGACAATCTCATGGTTGAAATCTTCACAATTGTTGACAGATTTCTCCTTTGATGACTTAAGGAGAAACTGGGAAGTAGTGGCTTCTAGAGTCTCCACCAAGAACAAATCACAAGTTGAATGGAAACCCTTGGAGTGGTAAAATTGAATTTTGATGGCAGCTCCCAAGGTAACCTAGGGCCATCCAGGATTGGTGGGATTCTGAGAGACAAAGGCAGCAATATGTTGTCTCTTTTTTCAAGACCAGTGGGTGAAGGTGATTCTGTAAGGGCAGAGTTACTAGCAGCGGTACAAGGTATACAGATGGCTAGTCAAATTGGAGTGAACAATTTGTTAKKARAAGGGGATTCCAAGGTAGTAGTGRGCTGGCTGAATAGCCCAGATACAGCTTGTTGGGGCTACAGGGATCTGTTAAAGAAAGTTAAATGGATGACAAGAAATATGACTGTCAGGTTTCAGTGGGTCAGAAGATCAGCAAATGCAATGGCTGATTCTCTGGCCAAGCAAGGGGTGTCAAGGGGAGATTTGTTTTGGGCTACTTTGTAATTTGTGTTTCAGGCTTGTGCATGTTTAGTGTATATGATTCAGTCCTCGGGGGGAGGTAACATCTTGTGCCTCTTCCTAGGTTGATTGTATTTCCGTTATTTGAATTAATAAAATTCTCTCATTTAGCAAAAAAAAAAAATCCATTTGTGCTGATGATGTAATTAAAGGTTGGGGAAATTTTGAGAAATCGCTGGTGACAATTTCTGACCATTTATGTGGCCAATTTATTCAGTGATTTAGACTAGCAAAGGCTTTGGGATATAAAAAGGCTGACTATGGAGGCTGACTTGCAGGTTTTATTAGGTGGATTGGAGAACTGGATATAAATGCTTGGATTTACTGACATGGAGAGAGACTTACAGGTTGTTCTGATGGGTGACCAGGCAGCCAATTCAGGAGCTGGTTCATTAGCAAGAGAAATTGTATCAGGGATCTGGTATGGGGGCCTGCCCATTGTAAGGAGATGAATATACTTCGTAACAGTGGGGTTTCCATAAGCCTGTTGTTAGCTAACTGAAAGTTTTCTAGTATAACGTTGAGTTTCACAAGAGAGACCATCTGCTGATCATCTGAAAATTTCTCTCTTTCTTTTCCATTTCCTTTTCCCTTTTCCACCAGGGACTGAGTGAGTTTGACAAGTATCACCAAATCTTTGAGAATATTTTTGAATCAACTTACATCAAAACTGATGCTTTCTTATACTAGTGGAAAACTATTTACTTTATTTGGCAGCATATGATAGCTGGAGGGAGAAGATATGGCACTGAATAGAAAGGAATGTTGGAGCAGGATTCATGTATGAGAAAAAACATTCATTTTGTACATTAGCATTTAGCAGTTCATTCATGTCAAATAATCAAGGAGAGAAGGAAAGTGTTATATGGAAGTGCTCCTCAAGAATCCATGTCCATTTAGTAAAGTCCATGCAACACTGGTTTAAAGATATTTCATTCTTATATGTGCTTTATCTTGAGTCAATCCTGGATGGCCTGCTTGCTAACTTACCCCAAGTTCAGGGTTTTGATAACTTGTTGTACATAACAATTCTAGTCTCTTGTCTTATTCAGAGTTTTGTTGATAATGCAATTGTGTATCTTAAGTATTAAAAGGGGTAGAAGGAAGGAATGGAAAGAGGAAGAGAAAGAGAAAACTCCAATTAGGTTATTTTCCTCTTTTTCCTTTGTTATGAACTTCTGGCGAAGATAAAAATATTCCCTTCATAATTCTCAAACAGTCATTATTCACTCCAAAGGGTCTAGACTGTTTGATTCATGTCCTTCTAGCCACACAAAAGTCCTTACTCAATGAATTCTGCTTATGTTTTCTGGGTTCATTTTACCTCTTCTTGCTGTATTTTGATCGTTCACTTAGTTTGATCATCTTTTAGTTCTTCTTGACATTCTAAGCATTTTTTTTAAAAATTCTCAATAGGTTTTCAGTTTTCTATATATGCAAGAATGGTGCTCAAATATTCTGTAATCATTTGTTTTTTTATCGGCTGATTACACCTTTTGTATGTATATATTTATGCTAAATTTCTGTCACCGAATTTGTTTGATGTTTGGTGACAGTTCTATTGACACTTAGAGTGCACTTTTGAGAAAAATCTTTTTTTTTTTTTTTTTTTCAGGTGGAGGAGATCGATGACATTGATGGCAACTGTAGTGATCCTTTTTATGCAGATGCTATAGCTAACGAGCGTGAACTTGATCTTTCCGAAGAACAAAAGAAAAACTTCAAGAAGGTTTGTCAATGAGATATCCATAGATCGTATATATGTTTATTTCATGATATTCTTATTTTCTATATATTGTTGTTTCACCAAAAAATTTATGAATGAGAAGTTAGGAGATTGTTCTTGACTGAAACACTTTTAATTTTCTGGAAATTTGATTTTGCCTTGTGACACATTTTGACATTTCACTGAAACTTTGGTATGTTTTGTTAGAAATTAATAAAATAGCTAATGCTATATATTGAATATTGTATATAAAAGTATCTATCGCAGAAATCTTTTTTAAAGGATTCCAAATTTATAAAAGATGATAAAATAGAACTTTAATTTATAATAGTGGATATGGAAAAAGTATATTGCCAAATACCAACTTTATATATTAGCGTTTAGTAGGAGTGCGTTTAGCAGAAATAGCTTTAAAGGATTCCACATTCATTTTCTTGTCAGTGCTGGGTGATTGGGTCACTTTGAACCCTGTTCTGTAGACCCCTCTTAAGTCAGGAGTTCAAAGAGTGACTCCAGAAACTATATGATGTTCTCTATCAAGTYCAACAGAACATGGGATTTTTCTGATGCAGTCTGTAGGAAGCTTACAATCACATTCTGATAAAATGTGGAGACTGCGGATTCTGATAAAATGTGTCTCCCACATGTCGAGTTTTTCTTGTATTTGGTATTTCTTGATAAGATGCTTGCGGTTGGTCTACCCTATACGTACTGCGCTGTGTAGATCCAAAATGTATATTCAACCTGTGTTTCTGCTAAATATTTAGTGAGTCATTTATTTCTTTTTTGTCGTATCATACCATTTTTTTTTTATATCTTTTGAAGGGCTACACAATGGGGGGTAGCCCATCCCCCAACCCATAACCCCCCAACCCAGTTGCAGGCGGGATTCGATCCCAAGTCTCCGCTACAACCAGCAGGAGACCTTATCAACCATCTGGTTGGCACTCTGCTTGTCATATCATACTTTGGCAATTATCTTATTTTATTCAAGACTTATTGGTTTTGGATTTTTGATAAGTGAAATGGATGGTTGTTGCTTTTGTTTTCGTTTGGAGTAGGGTTGGTTTTGTTTTGGCTTTGGTTCCTTTTACCATTACCGTGCTATTGGGAAGGAGCCTAATGGATGTATCTTTGACAGTATCTTAAATCCTTTGGTCTGCCTATGTTTTGATGTTTTCTGTTTTTTGATGGATTGGTTTCTAGTTTTCAACGAATTCCAAGGCCTCAGGTGTAGGGATTTTGCTTGTTCTTCTTTCTTTTCTYTTTCTTTTTTTCTTGTTTAGTGTGTATTCTGCTGTAATGTGTTTTGAATGTAGGCCTTCTTTATACATCTGTTCTTACACTTTTTTTGACAGATATAAAATGAAAAAAAAAGATTCTACCCCCATGATAACTTGAAGATCTCATTCGCCTTCTCTATAATGTCTTTGTTGCTGTGGTCTTTCGTTAATGGCTGTTGTTACCCTTTTTCTCTAGACTTCCTTTGAATGGAGTAGTGAGATGTGAAAAACAAGAAGTGAGAATGAAAGTCTTGGTTAATAGGTGTTGATAAAAAAAAGTCTGGTTTAATAGGTGGGAGGGGGGGGGGAGAGGGAGGGGCTCTTCTAATAGTGGAGTGTGGCATTGGATTGTGTGCCACAACAAACATTTACCACATCCATTTCCGTGGAACAAAATAGATGCATATAAATACTAGTTCAACTATCTGGATATAAACACAAAACTTGAGATATATTGGTCTTAGATGACATAATTGCCAAAGCGACGTCCAGGCAGGTGCTTAGGTGACGAGGTGCCCATAGTTACTTTAACACCTAGTTTTTTGTTCAAGGCATTATAATTTTTTTTTATCATTTTTATTTTCGAGGTTATAATAAATACAACGGATATTATTACACTACATTATTAATTTTGTGACTGTATATACTAGTTTCTTTTTTATTATTTTCTTATTTGTTAGAGTTAAATCAACACACATGTTACTCTGTTTGCTTTCTTGATTTTGTTCTCAAGAATATGTTGATTTTCTATGTTTTGATATGAAATTTATACTTGATTGATGAAGATTATTGATAATTACTAGTGAAAGATGATTGTTGGTTGCAATTGAACCTAGGGAGGAATTACTGTAGGATTTAGTTTTCTTTTTAATAAAAAGTCCACCCTGTTTCCTAGTCTCAACTTGGTGCTTGAAACCATCTAGTCGTCAATTGAATTTTCTTGTTGACCACATCATGGGTATCATAGTGTATCGTGCAGTTGGTATGGCTGTCATCTGACTAGTTGGTCAAATAGTTGATGCTTTGGTGAGACTTGGTAGGAGTCCAATGTGCATGTGTATTTTTAAATTCTATATGCTTTACTCCATCTTGGCAATAAATCCGATTGAAATATGAGGAAGTAGAGAAGAGAAGGGAAGAAGAGAGAAAAGAAGAAGAAAGAAAGAAGAAAAGGTTTGGAGCAATGGAACAGTGCTGGCGGCGCCAGATTCTATTATATTATATAGGGCGTTAGAAATAAGAAGGGAAAAGACTCTTGTGCCTCTGCTGTAAGTGTACAATAACAGAAATAACAGAAAATAAAAAACGCTTTAACTAGCCAAATAGACCCTAACACAAATAACTAAATTATTTCAACACTCCCCCTCAAGTTGGAGCATAGATGTCAATCATGCCCAACTTGTCATACAAATCATTGTGCCGCACATGATGAAGACCTTTGTGAAGATATCTGCAAGTTGTTCTTCTGAGCTGA